GGAGGGTCAGAGGGAGAAGCAGACTCCCTGCCGAGCAGGGAGCCCGACGCGGGACTCGATCCCGGGACTCCAGGATCATGACCTGAGCCGAAGGCAGTTGCTTAACCAACTGAGCCACCCAGGCGCCCAAACACAAACATTTCAAAAGGCAAAAAGTCAATGTTTAAGACCGTAATACGCAGATGGAGTCATCTGGCATTTTCATTTTAAAAAATTATATTCAAAATCCTCGCAAGCCTCAACAGCCCATTTCCAGATTAGACATTAAGGAAAAGCACAGTTTAATGTAATGTCTATTATCTGTACTCCTGTTTAGAATGAAAAAAAAAAAAAGCCCAAAGACTTTATTAAAATGCCTTCCGTAAAATGAATACAGAACCGGAATCTAAGCAGCCAGCCAGCCCACACTACTACTGTGTCAGCGTGGCACTTACCACGTGCATGAAAGGAGATCTGGTCAAATCCGAGAGCTGGCAGTAAAGCAGAAAAACAAGAGACCTTGCTTCGCCCTTTGCTTTTCTCCCAAGTAAGTATAATTTCAATTTCAAGGGAGTGAGCTATGATTTCTGTGGTAAGGATCTGATCCTCATTCAGGTTTCCTGTTCCCAGCATCCAAAGACCACAGGAGTTTACTGAACGGATGGCTATACGATTTGCAAATGTATTAGTTGAGAAGTTTAACTCCCCCTCCACACCTACCCCAACCCTTCAAATTAGAGAAGGCCCCTGCTTTTTCACCAAACTAAATAAGCAAGAGCTGAGGGTTCTGTAAAACTCCTCAACACTAGCTGATCAAGGGCCAGAACCTTTGTCAAGCCCTACCTCCTGGGGCCGCCACACAAGGAGGATTTCACAGCTTCACTGGCCTGGGCAGCCTTTGTATCCCCAGTACGTTCCTTAAGGCAACTTTCCTCCAGCAAACAAATCTCTGGCCTTCCTCTCTTCCATTGTAAAACTGTTGCAGCACAAAACACCCAAGCATTAAATAGAAACCAGAATTAGGATCAGCCTGGTCAACCAACGCCAATCCCATCCTTCTAGTTGGATGCCCTAGATCAGGGCAGGCTGGGGAAATTTACTACGGGGAGCAGAAATGTTCTGTATGTGCCTTGTCCAAAATGGTAGCCACTAGCCACACGGGGCTGTCAAGCAGGTGCAGTGGGGCTAGTTCAACAGAGGCACCAAGGTTCTTATTTTATTTACTTTTATTTATTTATTTATTTTTAAGATTTTATTTATTTATTTGACACACAGAGAGAAAGCACAAGTAGGCAGAGAGGCAGGCAGAGAGAGAGGCAGAAGCAGGCTCTCTGCCGAGCAGGGAGCCCGATGCGGGACTCGATCCTGGGACTCCAGGATCATGACCTGAGCCGAAGGCAGTCGCTTAACCAACTGAGCCACCCAGGCGCCCTATTTTATTTACTTTTAATCCATTTAAATCCAAATAGCCACATGTGGCTAATGGCTACCATATTGGAGAGGGCAGTTCTGGAGAGAATTTTTAAACTGCTGTTGGAAGCCGTCGACTGCTGCCAGGCTAAGCCACTGAGGGACAAGTGCTCTCCTTAAACAATCACCGCACGTTAGCAGGAACCGGCGCCTAACAACCCAATTACCTTTGTCATCACAACGCTCCCTGGGCACTATACACCTGTCAGAAAAATTAAGCATTCAGTCTAAGTAGGTCCTTTAATGACCATTTATCAAACACCTACGATGCACTGAAATGTTTTGTCATTTGCTTAAAAATAAGACGTCAAGGCTTGGGGATGGATACACAAAATATTGTGCAGCTGAACAATGCAATATTATTTACCAATCAATGAGGTGAGCTATGAGGCCAACAAAAGATGTGGAGGAAACTTAAATGCATATTACTAAGTGAAAGAAGCCAGTCTGAAAGGGCTTACATGCTAGACGATTCCAACTATCTGACATTCTGGAAAAGGCAAAACTACGGAAACAGGAAAATGATCACGGTTGCCGGGAGCTCGGGGGGAGCAGGAGGGAGGGATGAATAGGTGAAACACAGGGGATTTTTAGGGCAGTGAAACTATCCTGTATGAAACTGGAATGGTAGATACATGACAAATGATTATGCATTTGTCAAAATCCACAGAACTGGACAACATTAAGAATGAACCTTCATGTCAACTATGGCCTACAGCTAATAATAACCAACATCAACTCAAAATTGCAGCGTACACAAATATAACAATAATAAGGTAAAAGGGGAGGCTGGAGGAGTCTGTAAAATTTATTCTATAAATTTTCAAGAGTCCTCCCCTGCCCCCACCAAACAAGTCTATTATCATGAAGTCCAAATCCCTGGACAACTCCTGAGGCCTGCCCAAATAGTCTGCCCTGAGCTAAGCCTCCTGCTAGAGTGACAACAGGTTTTTGGCAAACCAGCAGAGAAGAGATGGTTCCTAGTCGCTAACAATGTGTACCTGGCTGCCTCACCCCCATGGCATCAGACTCAATTAGCTTCACCAAACAAATGAGACCTTTCCAGATTTCTAGATGTTCTACATGGCCCCTTCGCCATGGTGAGGGCGTTAGGAATTCATTCCCAGTCATTCATTCTTGCCTACACCGATCCATCAAGCAAGGAAGGAAACTGCTAACAACAGCCAAGTGCAGTCCTCTCCTGGGAAAATGGCTTGTGTCCATGTATTAAGTAGTGAGCTGCACCATTCGTGTCCCCCGCTACTTTGCTATCACACCATCATCGGGGTACTCTCTGATGCATTAATAAATTGCAGGAGATAAGAACTCTAGTGCATTCTGGTGTAAAAGAACCAAAACAGACATTCTTTCTTAGGACAGCTGGGGAAATCTGAATCCAGACTGGATACCAGAAAATAACCTAGAATCATCATTAACTTTCCTATAGGAGATATCATCCTTATAGGGGCCGAACGCTAAACTATTCAGGCGTGAAGTATCCTCATGACCAAAATGGACTATCCAAAGCACAACTCAGAAGAATCTATATAAAAGAGAATCAAGAAAATATAGTAAAATGCTACCAAACTATTTAAATTTAGGTGGAAGAGCCGGTCCTAGTCTTTCAGCTTTTCTGCATATTTGAGAATTTTCGTAATGAAAAAGCTGGGGAAGAGAGGAAACGCCAGTTAAAAAAACAACTTTCCAGGGGATATCAAGGCTGGTCATAAGGCAAACAGTTCCTCACTAAGGGACAAGAAAGCAGAGCTTTCATACCAGAAAAAAAAGTTAGCTGAGCTTCACTGAAAATCAAGCCAGCTTGTGGTTAGGTGGTTTAAGCTATCTGGACCCACAAAAGACTGCATAGAAGAACAGGAAGCTACGAACTTGAAAGACAAACTACAGTCCCAAAGGGAAAGGGTTCCCACCTTTGAAGAGGTAAGGGGAGGAAGCAAAACCAGTCAAGGTAAGGAACTTACCAGAACAGCATGTACAGCTAGACTCTGAGGTGATCCATCTTTGGACAAATAAGCATCTGACACACAGAGATGGGAGCAGGCCATTTTTACATGTGAGGTTTTAATGGAATTCAACTTCCAATTGCAAGTAAAAATAATAGGCTGTGAGTAGGCTCAGATATTACCAGCAGGAAAACAAAATTTTGCCTCCTTGAGCACATGAGTAACGGGACGGTTATCAAACAGCTGTGTTAAGAGAACCGCAGTCTGATCTTCCTTATCCCCATCCTCACCAGCCCCTCGATTAAACAAGAAATTGGTGGTACCACCAAAACCTAAATGATTAATGTATTATATACTTATATATTAAAAGGGCAACTTGAAAATTCAGGCTGGATACTCATGATTTGTGTACTTTTTTGACTGTGTTATATTTCAGTAAAAAACTGACTAAAACAGAGGCTCCTAGAACCCTTTTCGCTGGTCACAGCATTCTCTAGAATACAGGTTTGCATTTCCATACATTAACAAGACACAAAGCAGATGGATCATGTGGCTTTTTTTCAGGCACACCTATCAATCTGAGCGCAGAAGTTATAGGACACCTCAACACTCACCCAGGAAGCATTTAGCAGGCTCTGCATCTTAGGGGAGCAAAGCAAATCCCCACAGTTTTCATGACGGAGAAAGGCTTGGATTTCTAGTTGTTTAGAACATACATGTAATGCAATAATTTTCCCATGGTTCTTGAGTTTCCCAAAGAAGTAAAGCATAAGGGTGGGAGGTGTTAAATGTCTTTCCCACAGAACAAGAGTTAAGACCAGACTAGTGCCTCAAAACCTTCCACAGAAAGCTGTCAGATGACTATAGACACGTGTGGTTCCTATCGCAACAGGGTAAGATCCTACAGCCTGTGTGGACAGTAGGTCTGGCTTTGCTGCTTTCCAGCTAATGGAGATTTTGCACCTGGTAACCACAGATAACCCTCTTAGCTGGCTGCAGCTTGGGGGAAAAGGACGGCTGCTTTTGCATGGGGACATTTAGGGGCCATTATGGCTTAAAATTCTGAAATTCCTGAGGGGACAGCTGCTGCTGATAAAGCAGATGAATTGTGGTGACAGTGATCTCATTTCCCTCCACCCCAAGTTCTCAGGCGAAGACTCCACATCTCCTGCCAGCTCAGCTACCAACCCAGGGTCTTCGCCTGAAGATCCAGCCTATGTCCAGGCTTGCCAACCATCCAGAAAGGTTAGAGACGTGAGAGGCCCCCCAGGCTAAAGATGCTGGCCCCTCTCTATCTACTCAAGCCCAGGGTGGACTCATTCAGTCACTGAACACCTGCTATGTGCCGCGTGCTGTGCCAGGTGTTAAGAGCACAGAGCTGCAGGTGAGTTGATCTAGCCTGGTGGAAGGGGGGAGGTGTGGAGGGTGGGGGGGGACAGGAGGAAGGGGTTCAGGAAACACTGGCATTTAGGGGTGCAAGACAGGACGGGGAATTCAGAGGAGTCCTGGTCCTGCACAGTGGAGGGTAGGGTGTGTGTCCAGGCACAGAAACGACAGTGTGAGATGAGGCTGTGAAAAGGGTCAGATCCTGAAGGGCGTTGGGGGCAAAAACGAGGGAGTTTATATTTATTCCGTAAAAGCAAATGAGGGACTTCAAGGATAAGTTCAAATTTGTGTTTTCAGAAAGATCCGCCTGGGTGTGGTACAGATGATGCACTGAGGGCCTAGACTGCAGGCAGGGTGATGAATCCGATTAGGCCAATAATTATGTAGGAGGTCTAAGGCTGAGGGATTGTGAATGAGAGGACGAGGGCAACATTACTAATGTGGGTAAAATCCACTGGGCCTCCAAACTGGCAGAATAAGGGGTTGAGTGAGAGGATGTAGTTTTGTTTTGTTTTTATGACAACAAAAGCTGCTGTCCTTATAGAGTATTTGTCAACACCCAACAAGGTAGTACAATACTACTACCCCCATTTTCCAGCTACCTGAGCCTTGGTGATGACATGGTTTGCATGACATAGTAAGTCAATGAATAATACCCAGATTTCTGATTTGGGCCCCGTGAGTGAGGGGTAAAGTCCTTCACGGACTCAGGAAGATAGGAAGAAGCAGCGGTGGGGTCAGAGGTTAAGTTGTGTTTGGGACGTGATGAGTTTGGAGAATGAGCAAGTAGGACGTGCCAGCAGGAGTTACTAAAGAAAGAACTGGAAAGGATATGGAGAGATGATGGTTTTCTCCACTGTTGCTGAATGACGGGGTTCTTGTAGCCCTTTTGGCCACATGCCGGAAAGTCAGGCAACGTGGTAGGAGTTGGGAGGTGTCGTGAAGAGAATCCACGTGGACTAAACTCTGAAGGCGAGTTTCCCTGGGGGTCAAAGGAGAAAATTACGCCAATCATGCCAACAGCTCCTGTTTTCATGGGATGATTGAGGAGATGCACTGTGTTGAGAGTCCATATCGAATGTCAAGTAAAAACCCAACACAAATGTTTATATTTGCGTAGATGCACTCGCGCTTTGAGGCACGTCAGGGGCCATGTTAAAAAAGAGACTGTTCCTCAAACTCAAGCCACCTCCAGGAAGGTCACACAGCTTTGTTAGTCTGCCTCACAGCTGACCCACTAGTCACCACGACCCGGCAAACCTTGACACGAACACAACCAAGCACACACAAATGCAGCTGAATCAGGGCCGAGAAATAAATGAAGAAAAGATTTGTAATTAAGCCTTAACCTCACCCTGGCCTCCATATAAACCTGTCGGAATAAGGAGTTCCTCATGAGATTAGGAAATGTTGAATTAATGTAGGTCATGACTTAGATTAACTGATCTTTTGAGAGTAAACACAGATAACACAACAAGTGATTCCACAGAAATGGATCACAATGAGTGCAGGGCTGACATATCTAGACAGATTTCCAGTTTGGGGCTCAGACACCAATCATTATACAATAAGGGGATGGAACACACACGTCTATCGTTTTTAGGAAATCAGCCTACATAGCACCTAGGCTCTCAGGAAACGGGATGTCTAGTCATCCCAGGGGAGCACAAAGTATACAGTCAACTTGTAAACCCCAAAGAGCCTGGGGAAGCCATAGCCATGGCCGCTCCACCTCACGCCCCCCGAGATGCCCAGAGCCACTAGAACCGTTTCACTGAGGAGTTCAAACACAGCACAGAATGCCTCCACCAGAGAACAGAGGACAAGGTGATAAATCATTATCACTGGCTGAACTCACTCCCCAGCAGGTGGCCAGAGAGGTTTCAAAGCCCAGAAAATGTTTCCATGAAAGATTTTAGGCATTAACCACCTTCTCCTTTAATATGAAGAAACATTTTCCACCAGGGGCTCTGGAGTCAAAGACTATTAAGGAAAAGATTCATTCGGCAGCACCCCTGTGGGGTCACCTCTCATTGTCCCAGGCCCCCTGCTGTGCAAAAGGCAGTAATTACACACAATGAGGCCGCCAAGGTGGACCCAGGAAAGGGAACACAGTCACAGGACTCCCTGAGCCAGCACTGATGGCCTTTAGTACAAGGACACACCCCAACTTACCTTCCTAACAACCCTCCCCCTACTGAGAATGTCAACCCTTCAGTTTGCTTGTCCTGAGCCAAGACCTTTCCAGAAGGAAAAGTCTACTTGTGCAATAATAAATGGCCCCATGACTTGACAGAGCCAAGACCCAAAGGTGCTAACAATATTGTTCTCTCTCCCTCTGGGATCCAAATACCACCAAGCTAACAAAGATGAAGGCTTAGGAGATAGGAAATGTTCAAGGTATTGTAAGATTTTTTATGATTTTTGATAGTTTTAGTTTGTGGTCAGCTAGGTTTTCTTCCATTTCAACACAGATTTGTTGCCAGGCATTGCAATCCGCAAGCCACCAGGCAGGGTCCTCTCCTCGAGGCACCTGGCAATGCACAAATTATTAGAAAACAATGAGGCGTGTTCTTTGCTAGCAGACCAGGCACATCTCTGGTGAACAGATCAAATCCCCGAACTACGAACATGATATCAGGTTCAATCAGATGAAATGGCCAATTTGTACGTCAGAAACATCGCAATTCCCGTATGGTTTGGTCTCTACAGGTTTTTTGTTTTTTTTAACTGCTTTGTTTCTGTTCTCAAGTTGAGCAGGGGCAGTATCTGAACTCTTCACCATGGTCTGTAAACTCTGCATTATCTGGAACTCTCCATTTTCCATCCTTATCTCGCCCCATCTCCTCAAACACACAAACCTGCTCCTCTACACAGGCTCTTTTCATCTACCTCATACTCTTCCCTCAAGCTTCTCTGTGCTCCATTCCTTCTCATTTCAAAGGCCTCATTTGTCTTTATGAGGATATCCTCAAAAAAGCCTTTCCTGACCATGTTACCCATCATTCTAACCCAGCAGTCTAATAAAAACATAACACAAGCCACATATGTAATTTTAAATTTTCTAGTAGTCAAATTTTAAGTTAAAATTCATGTTCTTTTCCTTTTTTTTAAGAATTGTGGGTAAAACATACGTTAATTTTACCATTTTCACGTGCACAATTCAGTAGTGCACAATTAGTACATTTGTATTGTTGTGTAACCATAAACACCACCCATCTCCGGGACATCTTTCAGCTCCCCAAACTGAACTTTTACCCATCCAACAATCACTCCCCACTCCTTACACCTCCCCCTCCACCCCGCACCTGATGACCACCATTCTACTTTGTCTCTAGGAATTTGATGATTCCTCCCCTAAGTGGAAATCATACAATATTTGTCTCTTGGTGCCTAGCTTATTTCACCTAGCATTCTTATGTTTTATTTAATCCAATATGTAAAAATTTAAGACGTAATCCATGTAAAAATGGAGATATTTATAATTTTCTTTTCATCCTAAGTCTTTGAATTCCAGTGTACATTTTACACTTACAGTATGTTTCAATTTGGACTGGCCAGATTTCCAGGGTTCACTGGACACGTGTGGCTAGCGGCTCTAGTAGCTACCACAGTGGATAGCCCAGGTCTACCATGTCACTTTTTTTCTCTAGATTCATTTTTCTTTTTGTGTCCATATGTTTTTCTCTCTCCCTTCAGCAGAATAGGAGTTCCTCAAGGGCAAGGCCTGTGTCTGTGGTTTTCTTTCCTCTAAACCAAGCATAGATTAAATAGAATATAATCACAAAAATATTTCTAGACAAAGGTCTTTAGAGCAGATTCTTCCAGAAATGGAAAGATCGATCTCCAAATTATCCCTGAGATCCTGTACCACCCCTAATGGAAACACCACCAGAGAATGCTTAGTAACTGGTCCCTTTCATAAGAAGATGCAGCAGCAGCATGAGCCTGGACCCAGACCGGCCTGGCCCTGCTGCCTCCCTTACCGGCACTGAGATGTCTCTGAACTTCAGGTTCCTCATCTACAATGTGGAAATGATCGTGATCGTGCCTACCTCAGAGATCTGCCATGAGCATCAGATCAGTTAATATTTGTAAAGTACTTTGAACAGTGTCTGGCGCAAACTAAGTGTTCCGTGCATGGGTTAGCTCAATAAATCACGCTAATAGGTCTCGCCACTGTCATTTTAGGAATGACGGACAGCCCTGCTCCAGACATCTCTCTCCTTTGAACAGTTCATCCGCTCAGCGGGACCGGGATTACTTTCCCACGGGGCACACGTGCTCACCCACTCTCCCGCTTATAGCACTAACAGCCCGATGCCTCCGGATGCCGGTCCAAATTTCCCTGCAGGGCAAGCGAGAGGAAGAGCGTGAAGTGAGTTATAGCCAGGCTCCAGCTCCCAATGGTGAGGGTTGGGCCAGGCTCTGCACTTAAAAGCTGAGTGACCTTTGAGAACACATTCAACTTGCTGAGCCTCAGGTTCTCCATCTATAAAATGGAATAACAGCACCTACTTTTCCAGTTTGTTAAAAAAATTAAATGAGTTAACACCTGCCAAGCACTTTTGACAGTGCCTGGCACAAAGTAAGCAATCAATAAATATCTATTATAATTACAGGGCCCTCCACAACTAGACTCCATCCTTTTTATTTATTTATTTTTTAAAAAATAGGCTCCACACCCAGCGTGGAGCCCAACGAGGGGCTTGTACTCACAACCGTGAGATCGAGACCTGAGCTGAGATCAAGAGTTGGACACCTAACTGAGCCACCCAGGCACACCCCCAGACTCCATCTTTTATAGCTTCGTTTCATTTAAAAAACATGTAAGCATCTAATAAGTACGGGGTAATACGTGAACATGGCTCTTTCACTCACGGGAACTTATAGTCAGGTAGGAGACAAGTAAGAGCCAGTTATAACCCAGGGGGGTAGATGGTCTGCTAAGGGCGGTACACTGTAGGCTCAGACCCACAACAAGGGAACCTAACCCAGTCTTGGGGTGGAGGGCTTTGTGGAAGAAGGAATATCTAGGCTGAGGCTATAAGGGGGAGTGGGCATGAAAGAACACTCTACCATTCTTACCCAAGCACCAGCCACATGAAATTTCTCACCCTTCCCTGATCACATGACTTTTCACTTCTCATCCTGCCTTACTTGTATTATACTCTGACTTAGGTCTGCCTACTCCAAACAGAGGAAGAGTTCCCCATGTCACCTGTTTCTTTACTAAGCACAGAAAATGTTCAGTGTTTCCATTGAATGGATTCACTTTTCCCCTGCTTTCCCTTAGGATGAAAGACCCACATCTCCAGAACGATGACTTGAGCTATGGTCCTAGACCAGGTCTGTTAACCAGCTCCTGGCTTCAGCAGACCCAGCCAGGCTCAATGTATAGTCCCTGACCAGCTCACATTCTACAAACTTGCAGATACATGAAAAGATGGCTCTAACTTAGTCTCTGGGTATTTATTTCCCACCTATGAACCGGGAACTCCAAGTAAGAGTCCCACCTCCAGGTTTTCCCTTAGGCAAATCACTGAACTTTTCTGACCCACACAGGTCCCCTACCCCTCCAGCCACCGTGCCTGTCTAGCTAATACGGGCAGAGCTTTGGGGCTCTTCACCAAGGACAATTCCAACCATTTTAGCAACCGGCCAATGGTTTGGTATCTCCAACAGGTTCTGGTTAGGTTTTTAGAGGAACATTATGAAAAACAGATTCACTGGAGCTGCTCCACCTCTCGTTTAAAAACCGACTCTTTGGGCTGGCCAACAATTTTATTCGTTACAGTGAACATTTCATTTTCCACCCCCACAAGATGTATTCTTTCACCACAAGATGTGCCAAGAGTAATTAAGAACTTCTGAGGAAGGGAGGAAAAACCCACATGTTTCCCTGCAGACAGAGGGGTTACCTGGCTCCGACCTCGATTACTCCGTAAGACAAAGCAAAGCAAATGGAGGCAATTCTCCTTTGAGTATAGAATGAGCTCTCCTCCTATTGGTTAGATAAGAGTCAGTAATTATGCCTCTATAAGGAATGGGTGGTGGAACATACGGACTTTCCAGTGTGTGGCGGATTTAGGTTCGAACAACCACAATGCTTTGTACAAGTTTCCCCTTCTAAAAAGTGAAGATTCTATCACCATTCTGGTGGTTACGATGACCCACACATGAAATGTCTAACAGTGCCTGGCACATAGTAGGTGCTCAAGAGAGGTCATTCTTGCTCTATTTATCAGAATACAGTTGGGTAGGGCGCCTGGGTGGCTCAGTTGGTTAAGCGACTGCCTTCGGCTCAGGTCATGATCCTGGAGTCCCTGGATCGAGTCCCGCATCGGGCTCCCTGCTCGGCGGGGAGTCTGCTTCTCCCTCTGACCCTCCCCCCTCTCATGTGCTCTCTCTCATTCTCTCTCAAATAAATAAATAAAATCTTTAAAAAAAAAAAAAAAGAATACAGTTGGGTAATGAGGCTTTGTGGTACAAATAGGTTTAGGAAAAAAATTTTTATGACAACTAAATTATCCTTTTAAAGAGGACAGAACATGCCAAAACTTAAGACTTTCGTAAGACTCCATTTTCTCTTCAAACTGCAATTGAGAAATGAGAATTCCGATCTTTTTGCTACCAGAATTCTTGGAAGTCAGACTTTGAGGACATTCGATACAAAGTGTTATAGTCATGAGATCTTATTAAAACATTTTCACTTGTGTAAACTTCAGAGAATAAAGACATACTTAAACACACACACACACACACACACACACTTCTCCCAAAATATAAATGCTTACAATGGGATTAAAGTATGAAAATAATGCACATGTTTCTCATATTGCAAGGTCAGAATGATTAAAGGAAAAAAAAAAAAGACCACCAATCTCAGGGAAACTAAGAACAACCAGCAAAAATACTTTTTGGCATGGTATACATGCTTGTTAGTTGTATTTCACATAAAACTAGTAAGTACAATAGTTATTATAAGAGCTTCTTGAGACATCTAAAATATGCCCAGTTAGAGCTGTTATGATTTCCATTTCATTATTTTCCCGGAAATATTGTGGGTAGAACACTGGAAAACCCTTCACAGTGGTCCTTATCATTCTAGCCAATCAGCTGTAGCCTTCGCTTCCGGAGGCACCATACCATTAATGGTTCCATAACTCCACAGCATTAGGGCAATTTAAACGCTCTTAAATAATCCAGAAATGTTTAAAGGCCATGTAAGAGTTTAAGTCTTTAAGTTCATTTACGAATGTCAACTCCATTGCTTTTCTATGAAATGTATTTTAAAATTAAAATTCCAGGGGCACCTGGGTGGCTCAGTCGTTAAGCGTCTGCCTTCGGCTCAGGTCATGGTCCCAGGGTCCTGGGATCGAGCCCCGCATCGGGCTCCCTGCTCGGCAAGAAGCCTGCTTCTCCCTCTCCCACTCCCCCTGCTTGTGTTCCCTCTCTCGCTGTGTCTCTCTCTGTCAAATAAATACAATCTTTAAAAAAATAAAAAAATAAATAAAAATAAAATAGAATTTAAATTCCATATTTCTCTAAGAGAAGCATCTAAGAAACCCACAAAGCTGGCCAATATAATAGTCAAAATAATATAACCCTGATAACAATGATAAAACATCATCAGACATTTCCTTTTGCTGCCTTATGTCTAGGACACACTTTTACATCCTCTAGTGAAAGTGGATGCTCACTGCACCCAGGTAAGGTAGACCATGCAGTAGGCATCATCAACATCAAAAAGGATGTAAGTCGAGGTTCCTACCAAGGTCACACAGCTAGTGAGTAGCCTAAGGGGCAGAAAAGAAGACTCGAGTCCAGGTCTTGTGGGTGACATACCCACTGTATTTTCCATTAACAACAGGAATCTTAGATGGGGTAACAAGAACTCAGGCATGTCAACTGGTTGCAGAACTTCCAGATCATCAGTTCCTCAATTATCCATCGCTGGACCCTTCACCTCCCACCCGCAGGGAAGACGCCAT